CCCCCCCCCCCCCCTTCGCCCCAGGATAAAAAGGATAAAAACATGCGTTTTTTTAACAGTACCCTGGTGCTAGTTTCGCTTCACCGAGAATCTTGGATTTCCGCTTAATTGATACTTCTTATGTTGGCAGGTGTGTTAGCTGGCCCCCATTAAGTCAATAGCAAATGCGGTGGCTGCAGTTTACAGTTTCTGAAGGTGAGTTGGTGAAATCTTGCCTTCTGACTCCGGTAAGGGCACTGATTTCAAACTATTCAGGGCAGGATATCATGTTACTTGATCAGCAAAAAGGGTTTTTAAACTCAACTAATGGGGAGGCCCTTTCTTTATTTAGTTATTGGCCAAAATCAAAGCTCTGCACTTTATTTTGGGCATGAAACAACCGCTCCACCCTGAAACTACCTCAAGCAGGTCTGGATCCTTTACCGTTTATATACAAAGTTTTACATCTGAGCCGAAGATAAAGTATCTGTGCGGTAAAAGGGGGTGCATACACCCCTCCCCCCTCCCCGCGCTATCCCCTTGCTAGACGGACCCATCTCTGCTTTTTCTGTCCCAAAAGCAGTTTGCCCCGCATTTTGCTGTATGCACAGATTGGTTTACTGAGAAGGGAGGCCAGGCCGACATCTATAATACTGGTCTAACAGAACTTTAATCATATCAAAAACTAAACTTATATACAAGGATGACTACTTAGAAAAAGCCATAACTCCAAAATAGAATTCTAAGGTGACGCTTTCTGTAAATAAGTGAAACCATGATTATCACATTATACTAATAACATTCCTAAAGGAAAATGTCTTCATATGTAGCTGCATGTTTAGTTACCTAAGTTGAATATATATAAATGTCCATCAATTTGTTCCAGTCTTCATTATGGGTCATTAATACACTTTTTTTTTTTTAAATCACACCCTGTTGCTATGTAACTATATTAGTGACCAAACAAATTTTCTCTTCTCAAAAAAACCCACACTATCATTAAGAAAAAAAAAACAAAACAATATATAAACGGAAACCTAAGAGCTTCGAGATTGTTCAGAAGTTACCTGATTCACGAACTCAGAAAACTTCTTTTTAAAAAATTGAAAATACAATGTCAAAGAATGCAGCTCAAATTATTGCTATTCAGAAAAATATATTTACACATGCTTAGATAAATACTTTATAGTTTATTTTCATTGCTTTTGAGAGATTTTTTCCTGGCTGGGTTATTTAGTTAGCTCTAAGGTCTAAGCTTTGTTTCTTTTGCAGTTAGTATGTGTGAGTGCAGTGCTGCCAGTGAAACGTTTTATACATCCATCAGTTATCTTATTGAGCTTTAAGTTTAGAAAAAGCAATATTGATCGAGCTTTAAGTTGTTTAGTTTGTAGTTAGTGTGGTGTTAATCAGTTATCTGATTAAAAGCGAGGTTTAATCTTTTTAGTTCGCAAAAACCCTGATTGTGTTGGTTGCCAGGTAACAACTTCGAAATCTCAATACATCCTAGCGACTGAAGGTTGTTGAAGCTTAAATCAAAATCCAAAATTCCTTCAACAAAGAAACATTTACATTGCATACAAGGATTAGATATATACTCCACAGTTTATCTTCATTGAGTTTAGGAGATTTTTACCTTTATCAGTTATGTTGTTACGCTCGAGGTTTAAGCTGTTTAGGTTGCAGTTAGTGTGTGTGAGTGCTGTGGATAAATGTTTAACTGCTTCATCAGTTATGTTGTTACCCGCGAGGTTTAAGCTGTTTAGGTTGCAGTTAGTGTGTGTGAGTGCTGTGGATAAATGTTTAACTGCTTCATCAGTTATGTTGTTACCCGCGAGGTTTAAGCTGTTTAGGTTGCAGTTAGTGTGTGTGAGTGCTGTGGATAAATGTTTAACTGCTTCATCAGTTATGTTGTTACCCGCGAGGTTTAAGCTGTTTAGGTTGCAGTTAGTGTGTGTGAGTGCTGTGGATAAATGTTTAACTGCTTCATCAGTTATGTTGTTACCCGCGAGGTTTAAGCTGTTTAGGTTGCAGTTAGTGTGTGTGAGTGCTGTGGATAAATGTTTAACTGCTTCATCAGTTATGTTGTTACCCGCGAGGTTTAAGCTGTTTAGGTTGCAGTTAGTGTGTGTGAGTGCTGTGGATAAATGTTTAACTGCTTCATCAGTTATGTTGTTACCCGCGAGGTTTAAGCTGTTTAGGTTGCAGTTAGTGTGTGTGAGTGCTGTGGATAAATGTTTAACTGCTTCATCAGTTATGTTGTTACCCGCGAGGTTTAAGCTGTTTAGGTTGCAGTTAGTGTGTGTGAGTGCTGTAGCTAAATGTTTTACTGCTTTATCAGTTATGTTGTTACCCGCGAGGTTTAAGCTGTTTAGGTTGCAGTTAGTGTGTGTGAGTGCTGTAGCTAAATGTTTAACTGCTTCATCAGTTATGTTGTTACCCTCGAGGTCTAAGCTATTTAGGTTGCAGTTAGTGTGTGTGAGTGCTGTAGCTAAATGTTTTACTCCTTCATCAGTTATGTTGTTATCCCTGAGGTTTAATCTTTTTAGTTCGCGCAAACCCTGATTTTGTTGGTTGCCAGGTAACAACTTCGCAATCTCAATACATCCTAGCGACTGAAGGTTGTTGACGGTTAAATCAAAATACAAAATTCCTTCAACAGATTTAAGTGCATGCACTAATGCTAAACAGTCGAGAGGTGAAAGGTTACAACAAATAAAATCAAGCGCATTACAACCAATTTTCTTCAGTTTCTTTTGAACTTCTCGATCAGAGGCTTTGTTCTCATACATGCAATTGAATAGCGTCACCACTAATAACCTGTGTTCACGAGCTGGCCAACAGGTCAGTGTTTCAGTTGGTTCCCCTGAATCTTCATTCATAATGATGTCATCTTCAAAAGTAAAAGTTTTTGAGGGAAGAAGGTCACTGAAAATATCTGTTGATTGTTCTCCTTTTTCAGCCAGCAGTCCAGCCACAAACTGCATCACAACCTTCCACGCGCCATCATGGATGTGATCGGAAACAAACTTCTGCAGGTCTTCGGAACTCAACGTGTCCACCAAATACTTCGCCGCTAAGAACTCCTGTATCGTCAGGTGTAAAAAACAATATTGTGCTCGTCCTTCCTTTAAACCGCTAAAACTATCAGGTAAACGGTGGAACAAACCATTGTTTTCTTGCTCATCGACTTCGCCTGATTCGAAAATGAGTCTTCCTTCTTTGATTCCCTGAAAAGCAATTTCTCCCAGTCTCTTAAAGAATTTTTGCACATGTTCAGGTAATGCACTAAATGGCTTTAAATAAAACTGTTGAGCTTCATGTGATGGGTAACGACTTTGGATATCACCGTGACAAAAGTAAAAAATCTTGATGGCTATGGAATATAGTTCGGTTAGTCTTGTAGGAAGGCAGCCGGAGACGGGTGAGTTCAGCAAGTGTAACAAGCACGAACAAATTATGAAGCAATTCACAGGAATGTAGCAGAAGGATTGGAGGTTAAGGCTACTTCTGATGTGTTGCTTTATGGTTTCTCCTTTGCCATCATCGCCTTTCTCTTTTGTGAATTTGTCCACATACTCATCCACTTTATCAGAGTTGAATCCCAGAATTTCAACTATTCTTTCAAAGGCAATAGCTGCTTCAAAGAATGACACGGCGGTTGGTCTTGAGCTCGTTAAGACTGTAGCACCGGGAAGGATTTTCCCCGATAATAATTTCTTGTACAGGAAATGAACTGGCATCGAGTCTTCTACATGGTTACTGATCGATAAGTCATCGTTATTTATTCTAACCTTTCCAGAATATTCATCAAATCCATCAAAAATAAGGAGCAGTTTGTCTGGCCTTTTTGTAATGTAGTGCCAAACGTCATCGGACATTGGTAGTTTAGAATACTCCGATGCATCCAGGAGTTGGCGAAGATTAATTTCGTCATTTGTGCGGTTAAACTTCCTCAACTTAACGAGGAAAGCGAGTTTGAAATCAAATCGAGATTTTTGTGCACCGTTGAGCAACTTATCGGAAGCCCAATTGCGAAGAATCTTTGAGCAAAACATGGTTTTTCCAATTCCAGGACGACCAACAACAAGAATTTTCCGCGGTTTTGGTTCAGCATCAAATATATCTCCCGGCAGTGTTGGTCGAGATTTCTCTCTGGTTCTGTAGTATTCTTTCAGTTGTTCCTCTCTATCTCCACTAAATTGATACAGAGCTCTGTTTTCGTGAATAACTAAATCGGTGTAGATGTGGTCAAGCCTTAGATGTCTTTTTGAGCCTTCACCCGGTTTACGGTGGAAAGGCGTAGCAGGATCTACGTAGGGTTGTTCAGTGACTCCTCGGATATGTTTTTTCATATCTTCGATGAAAGTGGCTACTGATTCTGCCAGAAGGGCATTTGACGGATTTGAACTCAAATAATATTTATGAAATTTCCGGTTCTCCGTGAACCTTTCTCCTTTTTTTGCACGCCATACATGTAACAAATAAACAGACTCGATAAAAACAAGAAACGCAAACGCTCCAGTTACAACGATCACGGCATCAGCCCAGAAGGTCTTCTTAGCTGCTCGCTGATTATGGCATTCGTATGACGTTTTCGTTTGTGTTCCGTTGCGAGACCCACTTGCCGTGAGGTCTGAAAACCTCTCGTTTCTCGTTAAGTTGCAATTGAAGTTCGAGGGAAAGCTGAGAGGATAAAGTGATTTGGTCTGCAGAACGAGAAAAAATATCCCAAGAGCAAATCTGGCAAGAAGTTGCAAACAGTACGCTTTGAATAGCTTTTTCCGAGGAGTTTGCCCTTCTACATCATCATCCACGTTGCTAGGGTTGTTTTCAAGTTGCTCAACTTTCGACTTTACCGCTTGTGAGTATATTCCACAAACACTTGCAGTAACAAGAAAGTTAATAATCACGAATCCATAAACAGGGAATTTGTTGTATTGTTTTTCGTACTGTTCGTAACACTTTCCACGAATGAGTTCCTTATCGCCATTTGAGCCACAACGAAAGTCAAATCTCGGTTCGCTGTTTTCAATGTCTAGAAAGATTGCTGATAGGATAATTCCGAGCAAAATCCAACATACATTTGCCACATAACTGAACCAGTGGAGTGNAGGTTTAAGCTGTTTAGGTTGCAGTTAGTGTGTGTGAGTGCTGTGGATAAATGTTTAACTGCTTCATCAGTTATGTTGTTACCCGCGAGGTTTAAGCTGTTTAGGTTGCAGTTAGTGTGTGTGAGTGCTGTAGCTAAATGTTTTACTGCTTTATCAGTTATGTTGTTACCCGCGAGGTTTAAGCTGTTTAGGTTGCAGTTAGTGTGTGTGAGTGCTGTAGCTAAATGTTTAACTGCTTCATCAGTTATGTTGTTACCCTCGAGGTCTAAGCTATTTAGGTTGCAGTTAGTGTGTGTGAGTGCTGTAGCTAAATGTTTTACTCCTTCATCAGTTATGTTGTTATCCCTGAGGTTTAATCTTTTTAGTTCGCGCAAACCCTGATTTTGTTGGTTGCCAGGTAACAACTTCGCAATCTCAATACATCCTAGCGACTGAAGGTTGTTGACGGTTAAATCAAAATACAAAATTCCTTCAACAGATTTAAGTGCATGCACTAATGCTAAACAGTCGAGAGGTGAAAGGTTACAACAAATAAAATCAAGCGCATTACAACCAATTTTCTTCAGTTTCTTTTGAACTTCTCGATCAGAGGCTTTGTTCTCATACATGCAATTGAATAGCGTCACCACTAATAACCTGTGTTCACGAGCTGGCCAACAGGTCAGTGTTTCAGTTGGTTCCCCTGAATCTTCATTCATAATGATGTCATCTTCAAAAGTAAAAGTTTTTGAGGGAAGAAGGTCACTGAAAATATCTGTTGATTGTTCTCCTTTTTCAGCCAGCAGTCCAGCCACAAACTGCATCACAACCTTCCACGCGCCATCATGGATGTGATCGGAAACAAACTTCTGCAGGTCTTCGGAACTCAACGTGTCCACCAAATACTTCGCCGCTAAGAACTCCTGTATCGTCAGGTGTAAAAAACAATATTGTGCTCGTCCTTCCTTTAAACCGCTAAAACTATCAGGTAAACGGTGGAACAAACCATTGTTTTCTTGCTCATCGACTTCGCCTGATTCGAAAATGAGTCTTCCTTCTTTGATTCCCTGAAAAGCAATTTCTCCCAGTCTCTTAAAGAATTTTTGCACATGTTCAGGTAATGCACTAAATGGCTTTAAATAAAACTGTTGAGCTTCATGTGATGGGTAACGACTTTGGATATCACCGTGACAAAAGTAAAAAATCTTGATGGCTATGGAATATAGTTCGGTTAGTCTTGTAGGAAGGCAGCCGGAGACGGGTGAGTTCAGCAAGTGTAACAAGCACGAACAAATTATGAAGCAATTCACAGGAATGTAGCAGAAGGATTGGAGGTTAAGGCTACTTCTGATGTGTTGCTTTATGGTTTCTCCTTTGCCATCATCGCCTTTCTCTTTTGTGAATTTGTCCACATACTCATCCACTTTATCAGAGTTGAATCCCAGAATTTCAACTATTCTTTCAAAGGCAATAGCTGCTTCAAAGAATGACACGGCGGTTGGTCTTGAGCTCGTTAAGACTGTAGCACCGGGAAGGATTTTCCCCGATAATAATTTCTTGTACAGGAAATGAACTGGCATCGAGTCTTCTACATGGTTACTGATCGATAAGTCATCGTTATTTATTCTAACCTTTCCAGAATATTCATCAAATCCATCAAAAATAAGGAGCAGTTTGTCTGGCCTTTTTGTAATGTAGTGCCAAACGTCATCGGACATTGGTAGTTTAGAATACTCCGATGCATCCAGGAGTTGGCGAAGATTAATTTCGTCATTTGTGCGGTTAAACTTCCTCAACTTAACGAGGAAAGCGAGTTTGAAATCAAATCGAGATTTTTGTGCACCGTTGAGCAACTTATCGGAAGCCCAATTGCGAAGAATCTTTGAGCAAAACATGGTTTTTCCAATTCCAGGACGACCAACAACAAGAATTTTCCGCGGTTTTGGTTCAGCATCAAATATATCTCCCGGCAGTGTTGGTCGAGATTTCTCTCTGGTTCTGTAGTATTCTTTCAGTTGTTCCTCTCTATCTCCACTAAATTGATACAGAGCTCTGTTTTCGTGAATAACTAAATCGGTGTAGATGTGGTCAAGCCTTAGATGTCTTTTTGAGCCTTCACCCGGTTTACGGTGGAAAGGCGTAGCAGGATCTACGTAGGGTTGTTCAGTGACTCCTCGGATATGTTTTTTCATATCTTCGATGAAAGTGGCTACTGATTCTGCCAGAAGGGCATTTGACGGATTTGAACTCAAATAATATTTATGAAATTTCCGGTTCTCCGTGAACCTTTCTCCTTTTTTTGCACGCCATACATGTAACAAATAAACAGACTCGATAAAAACAAGAAACGCAAACGCTCCAGTTACAACGATCACGGCATCAGCCCAGAAGGTCTTCTTAGCTGCTCGCTGATTATGGCATTCGTATGACGTTTTCGTTTGTGTTCCGTTGCGAGACCCACTTGCCGTGAGGTCTGAAAACCTCTCGTTTCTCGTTAAGTTGCAATTGAAGTTCGAGGGAAAGCTGAGAGGATAAAGTGATTTGGTCTGCAGAACGAGAAAAAATATCCCAAGAGCAAATCTGGCAAGAAGTTGCAAACAGTACGCTTTGAATAGCTTTTTCCGAGGAGTTTGCCCTTCTACATCATCATCCACGTTGCTAGGGTTGTTTTCAAGTTGCTCAACTTTCGACTTTACCGCTTGTGAGTATATTCCACAAACACTTGCAGTAACAAGAAAGTTAATAATCACGAATCCATAAACAGGGAATTTGTTGTATTGTTTTTCGTACTGTTCGTAACACTTTCCACGAATGAGTTCCTTATCGCCATTTGAGCCACAACGAAAGTCAAATCTCGGTTCGCTGTTTTCAATGTCTAGAAAGATTGCTGATAGGATAATTCCGAGCAAAATCCAACATACATTTGCCACATAACTGAACCAGTGGAGTGTTTTAGGAGCAAGCAAATCTTTAAGACCTTCCATGTTGTATGCCTTACGATTTCTCGCTTATGAGCTACAAATGCTTGCATTTAGCTTTTGTATTCTGTTAGAAATAATGAAACAAGGAAAATGATTCAGATGTAATCGACCGTGGCTGTTTGGTATATTTGAATCACAAAAACTCTGTTTGTTGAACATTCGCGTCAGGTCAAAGTTTCGTATCTCGTATATTCGGTATTATTTTTAGAAATGCACATAAACTGGTCATAGCCTTTCTGTTTGTGAGTAATCATTCAACATGAGGTACAGAATTTTCTGCTGCACAGGTTCTCCCGACAGCCACACCTGTGTTGCGAACTATACGAACCATTCTCGAAATATTTGTGGCAAATTTAAAAATCGCCGTGGGCGTGAATCCTTTAGTTTCCAACGGAGAGCCGAGATTAAACGTTCCATCCTTGCTCGAACCAGGTTAAAATATGCGTTTTTCTCCCAAAATTCGACACATTTCCCTACCGTGTGAAAATTGCGATGTCAAAAACGGGCGAAAGCAAGTGAAGAAATTTGGTCAACCTTGGCGGACTCTGACAGTGCAATTTTCGTATGTTTTTTCACCGTTGCTATTTTTGCGTGCGTGTCAGGCCAAAGAACTTCCTATCTTATTGTCTCTTTCTTTTTTCATTGTTCCCCGATGAAGATTAGGCCAGGACAGGCTGAGAAAAATAAAAAAGCGAATTCACTTTATAAGTTAAGACAATCGACAATAGCTGAAAAGATGTAAAGATGCGTGCCTCTGAGACGGAATGTGGCCGAGTAGCCTCGGGGTATGAGGTTGAAGTTTGTACTTTCCCAGTTACGCACGAGTACACATGAAAGTAAAAACATTTTCGTTTTCTTCAAACCCTTAAGTTTTATGGTGAGCAAGAGTCAGTCGAATCCAACCCCGTAAAACTCGGTGTGGTCAGTTTTAATCTTGTACCCAGATCCCACTCTGGCCGTGGAAGATCTGGGTAGGAGATAAGGAGAAGGTTAAAATGGGCCCTTTAAAGTGCATGTAAAAAATACTGAAAAATATATTAATTCGTTTAATATTAATTTCTCTTCTCAAAAACATGTTTATAAAAATACAATATCTGATGTCTTTTCTTTGTGTAATAGTGATAACTGGTTGCAAAGAATTAATTACATTTTCCTCATTTATTTTCCTACTTTTTAGACTTTGTCGCCATTTGAGCCAAACGAAAGTCAAATCTCGATTTGCTGTTTTCAATGTTTAGAAGGATTGCTCATAGGATAATTCCGAGCAAAATCCAACATACATTTGCCACATAACTGAACCAGTGAAGTGTTTTACGAGAGATCAAATCTATTATTTCTTGCATATCCACTGTCTCTCGATTTCTTGCTGAACGAACAAAAAATGCTTGCATTTAGGAATTTAGCTTTTGTATTCTCGAGGAAAATGATTCAGATGTAGTCAACCGTGGCTGCTTGGTATATTTGAATCACAAAAACTCTGTTTGTTGAACATTCGCGTCAGGTCAAAGTTTTCGGATCGCGAATATTCGGTATTATTGTTAGAAATGTGCATAAACTGGTCAGAGCCTTTCTGTTTGTGAGCAATCATTCAACATGAGGTACAGAATTTTCTGCTGCACAGGTTCTCCTGACAGCCACACCTGTGTTGCGAACTATACGAACCATTCTCGAAATATTTGTGGCAAATTTAAAAATCGCCGTGGGCGTGAATCCTTTAGTTTCCAACGGAGAGCCGAGATTAAACGTTCCATCCTTGCCCGAACCAGGTTAAAACATGCATTTTTTTCCCAAAATCCGACACATTCCCCTGCCGTGTGATACTTGCGATATCAAAAACGGGCGAAAGCAAGTGAAGAAATTTGGTCAACCTTGGCTGACTCTGACATTGCAATTGTCGTATGTTTTTTAACTGTTGCTATTTTTGCGTGCGCGTCAGGCCAAAGAACTTCCTATCTTATTGTCTCTTTCTTTTTTCATTGTTCCCCGATGAAGATTAGGCTAGGACAGGCTGAGAAAAATGAAAAAAGCGAGTTCAGTTTATAAGTTAAGACAATCGACAAAAGATAAAAAGATGCGTGCCTTAGCTCTGAGACGGAATGTGGCCGAGAAGCCTCGGGGGATGAGGTTGAAGTTTGTACTTTCCCAGTTACGCACGTGTACACATGAAAATAAGAACATGTTCGTTTTCTTCAAGAGCTGAGCAAGAGTCAGTCGAATCCAACCACGTAAAACTTGGACCTCAGTCAAAATTAGAACTTGGGTCTAGAGTGAGATCGGCACCCTCGAGACCCATGCTCTATTTCCCTTCTGTCTTTGCCCGGGAAATTTCACGTACATTTTTTTATGACTTTTTATAATTAAGCAATAGTATTAATTTTCTCTTCTCAAAAACATGTTTATAAAAATACAATATGATGTCTTTTCTTTGTGTAATAGTCATAACTGGTTACATTTTCCTCATGTAATTCTCGACTTTTTAGACCAGCCACTATAATTTTCATGGCTAAAATTACATTTTCTCTCTCTCCCCAAGTTTTGGGGAGTCAGAAAACAGTCGATATTTCCCGCCGCTACAACTGGTTTCCTGCGAAATGACGTCTGAGGATCGACTTCAGAAATTCCATACTGTCCAGATCTGGATAGTGATACGAGATCAGTATGGAATTTCTGAGCTCCTTCTTCAAACTTCATTTCGCGGGGAAACCAATGGTACGACCAGTTTTTGAGGTTGGCTTCAATCAGAACCAAAACCCTTTTTAGTATCAAAGTAATCTTATCTCTAAAATTCTGGATCATACGTTTCTGGGTAACTGCGCACCTACCCCTCCCCTATGCCAACATTTTGCCCTAAGCGGGAAGTAAGTGTTAATGTTGGCTTAGGGCGGGAGTAGGTGGGCAGTTTCCCAGATACGTATAACGATCCAAAATGAAATTGTCATCCCAGAGGTGCCATCCTCAAGGACGCTCTTCAGCTCGTAAAGTAGCCTCTTATGCCGACGTGATGAAGTGGAAACCTTCAACGAGGGAGGCTACTCCTTAAGGCGCTTCTACCGTCCTTACGATCCTTCTTGATAAGGGAGACCTGCTCATGAGAGCAACTCTTTTTTCGCAAGTACCGATCATGCAATTTCAAAAACAAGGCATAAAATATATACATATCTGTATTCTGTTATAGTATTTCTACTTTGACAATCTTACGGCTAAATTGTTTCTCCCGATAAGAAATTAATTGTGCGAATATTGCGCCATATATGTTTACGTGTAAAATTATATCAAATTCCTCTCGAAAATTCTCTATTCATACACGTGTTAGATGTAGGTCGATGTATGCACGACTTGCCCTTGAATATTCACAGCTTCCTAAACGCGACCCTCAACCACGGAGCTTTTTCTTCAGCATTATTCAACACGAACAGGCTGTTCATTGCAGTTTTCTATTCCTGACCTGAAGAAAGTTAGAATTTATCCCTTTGAAAAGCTCAATTTTCATATGCAGCAAATCCTTCCAGTGGAAACCTGTTTACTGCTGTAGCTTTATGCTTAATCCTTTCTGTTACTTCATTACCGCAGAGGCATCAACCTGAGCTCACAGATGTATATATCACTTGATAACGATAACGCGATCTTTACGTACTGCTATTATGAAGATCTCGTTACCATACCGAACATTTTTGTGAGACGTGACGTTGCGTTACGTTGATGACGCCATGGATCTGTTTAGTATATTAACAAGGATACTGGATGGCCAGTCCTTGGAAATTTCACAAAATAGATGGCATTCATTGTGTACTCCTCCTGTTTTTCGTAAAACGAGACCAAATTATCTAGCAACATGAAAATAAAACAGGACGATTACAATTTGAAGGAGCGTGATTGAGGATTGAATAGTAAAATGCAAAACAGGCAGGTGCGGACGTACGATTGAGGTAGAGGTAAGGGATTGCGGTGGTGTTTGTGTTTGTTAATTCTAAAGGATAAAAAAATCTTGGGAATTGTAATGTGAAGACCGCAGGAATTTAGTACCGCAGTAGAACCAACTTACTTTGATTTCCCGCAGTAGGTTGGTGTTTTCAAGTCCCATCTACAAGAAAAAACAAACAAGTTAGATTTCAAGATAACCCTTAAAGAAACTTTAATCTGATTACAAAGAACTTCTTCTCAGAAAAAGAGTTGATGGTACCTCTTGTCGCTAGGGTCTATGCCGCAGTAAAGAATAGACTTCATGTGGAAATGCTAGCCATATAGTTATTATGACACAAAGTGTGTTATGCTATGCAGTTTGAGGAGGTGGTATTATGAGGAACCAAACACATGTACAGTTAATACTATGGTATGTAGTCAATAAAAGAGGTATTTCATAGAACAAAACAAATCTAACACTGGTATAAAGTTTGGGGAGATGATACTGTGAGAAAGTGGTAGCCAATCTTACTTTCGTTCATTGTCCGTCACTGTCATTCCCTTAGGTGTAACCTTCAAGCTTACAGTGGTGAATTTCTTAGCAGCGTCACTGTTGACAAGCGTTCAATGGTGCGTTGTATAGTGCTTGCTCTTGTCAGCATCTCAACATCACACTGCCCCAGATACATCAGCGAACCAACTGTAAGTCGAAAAAAAAAAACAAACAAACAAATCAAAGCAAATCACTGCAGGTAAATTTTAGATTAAGAGTGCAGTCCTGGACATAAGTGAGGTAATTGGCAGAAACCTCAGCGGGGATGGTGCAATACATTAGCGAGCCAGCAATACGTAGGATATATCAGTGATCAGAGACTGATACAGAGTCAGAGATGTCGTTAAAGTGAAAATGTTTCACACCACAACGCGGCAGATACCTACACCCTTTGGCCACGACTGACCGTCCTGTGTGTCAGCAGACTGGGTTTTATCTTCTCCTGAGAGATCTGGAAATAAAGAGAAATATACAC